TTTTGGTGTTCTCATCAAAAACATTTTTTTTTTTTTTTTTTTTTTTTGCAAATTTTTGTGATTTGTTTTTTTTTTTTTTTTGGCTACTTTAATGAAATTGTATTGTTTTTTTCGAAAAAAAACACACCACTGAAAAAAATTTCCAATCAAAATCCAATGTGAGTTTGAATTCAATTTGATAACTTTCATAATTTACGACTTTTACGGAATAGATTTTTTTTGTTGACTGAAAAATCCCATGATAAATAATGATGATGATCATAAGATGATTAAAGATAAGGATGTTTCAAATCTTTTTTCATTAAGTTTTTCTCCATGCAATCTGCTAAACGCAAGCTAAATCGGCCATGAAATTGATTTTCAACAAAACGTTCTTCTTTTTTTTCCATTTAAAAATCTTTAAAAAATCGCTTAAAACAACAACGCAAAACTGACAACAAAAAAAAATCTGCAATCATGTAATTAAAATACGAAAAAAACTACGGAAAAACAAATAAACAAACAAACAAACAACGGAAAATATATGCGACGACAAAAAACCGGTTATTATTGTATGTGTTTTGATAAACATAGAAAAGGCAAGGCAAGGCAAAGAGACGATATAGACAATAATAACCCGTTGCGCGTGTTATTTTTATGAATTGTGTTCCATGATGATGATGATGATGATGATGATGGAACACCGTTACAATCATCATCATTTTCTTTAGACAACAATCATTTTAATGACTTCCTGGTTGTTGTTGAATGTTTCGCTTTTGATTTTTTTTTTTTTTTAAAGTTTCAAGTGAAAAGAGAAAGAGAAAGAGAGAGAGAAAATTTACTGAAAGTTTATTTCCATCATCTGTTCCGCATATCCACCTACACATATTGTTGCCAGAAAAGATTTCCAATTTGAGAAAATCCAAGACAAAAATCGTAATATATTTCAGTCAGTCAGTCAATGAAATTGTTGTTATTATTATCATTTCTCATCATTTTTATTTAATTTGATTTCCCGAAAAGTTTTTCTTTTTTCTTCTTTCCCCCCTCATTCAATTGTTTCAATACGAATGAATGAATGAATGAATGGGGAAGAAAAAAAACATTTCGGGAAATCCTTTACACTGATGATTGAACCGGAAACAACCGAATCCTGTTTATTGGCGAAAAAAAAACATTAGTGAATGATCGATATGGAAGAAAAAAAATCCTAATTAGGTCACTAATAATCATTCATTTTGCTTGCCTAATTTAGAAAAATTTGCTGAAAAGTTTCGAAAAAAGTTAGGTTAGGTTGACTTGACCGTAAGTGAGCAGCGTGCATTACTACACACGCTTTGGCTTTGAAGCCAAATTTAAGGGTAACAGTTTTTAAGCGAAAAAACAAAACTTTGAACAAAAAAATTATTATTATCATTTGATTTTCCATTATTAAACATTATTTTTTTCAATAATCAAATGCGGAAGTGAAAGCATTATTTCGTTGGCCACCAACAACATCATCACCACTACCACTTTTTCTTCAATTCGATAATCTTTTCAATCAAAATGAAAGAGAAAATTACAATCCGAAAAACCAAAGAGAAACTGGTTTTCCAAAACTGAAACTGAAACAATTTGCTGAAAAAAACAAAACTAAACAAAATTTCTGAAATCAAGAAATCTGATCATTTTTTCCAAAATAAAAATCTTTATTGTTTTCCAAAAGATTTGCTAATGACACACACACACACACACACCTTTAGGATAATTAACGTTAATTGTGTTGTCGATGACGATGAAAATCATTATTATATCACCCGGTTTGATAAGAAAATTTGATATTTTTTCAGATAAAAATGAGTTTCTTTGGAAAAAATTCAGCTTTTTTTCATTGGAATTATTACCTTGATGATTACCTAAGGAATTTACCCTTCCTTTTTTTTTGTCTTGAAGCAACATTTGTTGTTGTTGTTGTCGATGAGGTAATATTTATCTAATAAAAATTTGAGCAATTTTCCAAGGAAAATGGAAAAATTTTCCATGGAAAAATCCCAAAGAAAAAAACGAAAAAAAATCCGGACCAACAAATGCGGAAACCGCTCCCAGCTATTTCTACATTTTCTTGATTTTCAATGAAATTTTCAATGTCACTAGATTTGTTATGGTTGTTTTCTGAATTTCTTCGAACGAGAAACCCTTTATCGCGAATTGAATGACGAAAAAACTTCAAAAAGAAAATGTAAATAAGGTCAGAATCAATCAATTTTTTTTTTGGAAATAACCGTGTGATGAGATTTTTCCACAGGGTGATGAAAAACTACTGTAAAATTTTGACCAAAAGACCATAAAAACCAAATCAATGATAACCCTCCCGATACAACCAGAGAAAGAAATTGTTCTAGGTCAAAGTGAAGATCTCAACTCAAAGGTCACTCACTTGCTTTCTTCACCACATACAACTCTTTTTTTCTTTTTCTTTTTTGTTGACCATTGGTCACTTGGTGTAGTTTTTGGTTATGGTTTATTGTTTATTGGTTTCATCTGAATTTTTTTTCAGGCCGTCAATAAAAAAAAATATGACAACCATAGAACCGTTACATTTGATGATGATGATGATGATCGGTAATATGGGAATTTAAAATGTGTGACCTAAGGGGTCAAAATAGTCAACAACAACAAATTGGTAGCCATTATCATCATCATAAAATTGAAATTACTAAATTTTTTCAATTCAAAATAGGTTATTGGTCGGTCGGTCGGTCGGTTGTTGTTTACGAATTTGATTTGATTTATATTTTTCAACCACCCGAATATATAGATTTTTTGTTGTTGTTGTTTTTTTATCTGGCAAATCTTATGGAAAAAAATAATCAAAAATGAATGATGGCTGTCCACCGTAACTCACACACCGAGACAAACACGTATAGTCGAGTCTCGAGTGATTAGTGACCTAGTTTTTTTTTATTTTATTCTAAAATCATCATCATTCATTCAACCACCCGCGCAATATCAAGCGCGCGTATTCAAAACAAAAATCAAATACTTGACCAATGGCTATCCAGCCAGAGCTTAATTCATTCAGCTACCAAATACATCATCATTTGTTTGGTTGACGAAAAATAATATGCAAATGCACGCGAACCAACCCGAAAACTGTTACTGTAAACTGACCGAAAGAAGAAAAACCCTCCCACACTGACAATAAAAAAAATAAACAACATAAACAACAACAAAACGTAGAAATTATGTCAAACAAACGGTACTATTTTACAAAAAAAAAAAAAATTATTTGGGCCATAGGGTTCACACATACATAGACAAAAAAATAGACACATTCAATGTCATCAGTTATGTTGATCAGATCTTAAATCATTTTTTGTTGGTCGTTTGGAAACTTTTTCACCAAAAAAAAAACATTGTTTTTTTTGTGACAAATTTCCAATTGAATTATTTTATAGTTCAAAGAATTTTTGTTTTTTATGTAAGTTTTTCTGATGTAAGTTGTTTTTTTTCTGTGTATCAAACTGAATTCCGTCTCCACCTTGTTTCAATTGTGTCAATTTTGTTGTTGTTTTGTTTTTTTTTGTTGTTGTTTTTTGCTGTTGTAACATCGTAAATCAACGATGCAAATAATAAAAAAAAAATTATAATTTTTTTACTGATAAAATATGGTTAAAATGGGCGAACAAATATCGTTTATTTTGTTGTTCATTTGTTGAACCAATTTAGTTTTTTAAATAAAAAAATTTTCCAACAAAATCAAGTCAACCATCTTACCTGTCATATATATCTTTTGCACAAGAATTTGACAAACAGCAACAGCAAAAAAATCTTTTCCGGCCGGTTGAATTTTATTTTATTTAGTTTTTTTTCGACCACAAAAACAAAATTTAATTTAGTTCGGATGCCAAAAACGAGAGACAGAAAAATTCATTTGTTTGATTTGTTGTTTAATGGTTCGTTGACGTTTATCATTATCATTATCATCAACATTCGATGGCCAAGTGAGAAAATTTGTTTATTCATTTCAAATTGGTTTGTTTGTGTAGAATTTTAAAGAAAATAAAAAAATTATCTTTCCACCCACCCACCACATTTATAACATAGAAACAAACACAGATTGTGTGTGAACCTATGAATTTGATTAAATTAAAATTTGAAAATCGTTTTGTTGTTGTTGTTCCGATCAATCACATCGATTGACAATTGATTTGTTTACCTTTTTTTTCTCTAGTTCTTTCCTGGAAACAATAAAAATTTATCTTATTTTTTTGAAATCTATTCATTTGAAACGAAAAAAAAAAATAAAAACCACTGATTTTTTTTGTTTTTGTTTTTTTTAATTTCTTCAATCACATAGTGAATTCTGTTTTCAACAGAATTACAAATCATATTTAATAGACAATCAACAATCAACAATCAATAAAAGTCTACTAGTCCATCATAGTCCACCACCATCAACATAATCATCAAGAATTCAAAAAGAAAAATTCTGTGAAAAACAAATAATCAATGGTAATCAATATTCAACAGCCTTTCTAACCCTTTGCTCCTTCTTCCCCGGTTTTTTTAAATTTCTTAATTTCAATTTATTGATTTTCTTTTTGAAAAATTTTTTTTTTCAAACTAAAAAAAACGAAAATCATTTTGGACAACAAACAACCAATCTTTGAATGAACAAACGAAACAACAAGTGAATATTTTTTGCAAATCAAAAACAGATAATTTGTTTGTTGAGAATAACTATGAAACCAAAAGAACGTTTTATTAGCTATGCATTATTATCATCATCGACATCATCATCAACTAATCATCAATGCGTTGTTGAATCAACAAATTCCAATTCATCATTTTCAATCAAAGAAGATATTCCAATTGATTTAAGTGTAAAAAAATCTTCAACGCAACAACAACAATCGATTGTTGTTGTTCAACCACCACTATCGATTCATCATCATTCAAATCATAATGGTTCATCATTTGGATCGTTTAAAGAATATGATCATCAACAACGACAAAGATTTTTCAATTCTAATCAATCGCAATCATCAATTAATGATTGGTCGCAAACAAATGTAACAGCGGCAGCGGCAATTGCTGCTGCCGCAAATAATAATACTTCTGGTCGATATTCATTTCCAAATCTAATGAAACATCATTATCATCCACAACCATCATCAACGTTTCATTCAAATTCTCATCAATCTTCCGGTAATATTTTTCCATATTTATTTATTGATCCGGTAGGATGTGGTCAATTACCATTGCCACCGCTGCCACCACCACCACTTCCACTGCCGCAGCAGCAGCAGCCATCATCAACAAACGTATCACATTCAAACAATATCGATCATAATCATCATCAATTGAAATCAAAATCCACATTATTGGATCATTATGTGATGCCTTATCGATTTCATGCGGCTGCTGCAGCGGCAGCAGCTGCCGCTGCCGCACAAGATGGAATTATATTTCCTCCTTATCAATCGAATGCGGCCAAAATTGTTGTTGATCATCATCATCCTCATCATCCAATTCATCCGATTCATTTGACAAATGGTAATCATAATCATCACCATCATCATCATCATCATGAACAACGACAATTAAATGATAGGATTCATCATCATCGACCACCATTATCAACTGAATCAACATCATCATCATCAACATCATCATCACCATATGATTATCATACAGTTGATTATGGTCAAACAATTGATATTTTAAAAAATGATGATAATGATCATCATCATCATCATCATTTACCACCGCCGTTACCATCAACAACGACAACAATATCGTCATCATCATCATCTTCACCACCGTCATCATTATCATCAACAACATCGATACCATCACCACCGACATCGACAACAACAAAAACGGCAACGATAATGAAAAATCAATCCAAACAATTATTAACGATGAAATTAAATGGATCTCAAATGGCTTGCTATTACGAAGGAAGTGATGGTGATGATCCATCACTACCACCACCACATCAACAACGAAAACAGATTATAAATTTTCGACTAAAAAAATCATCAAGTTATCCTTGTTTACCATCATTATCGTCATCGTTATCAACAACCAAAAGAAGAAATTTTTGTTCAAGATCAAAATCTGAATCAAATTTACTGCGATCATCATCATCATCATCGATAAAACCAATTTTATTTGTTAATAATAATCATCGAAAATCCACAACAACAAAATCGATAGAAGCAACAATAACAACAACAACAACGACGACAAATAATTCACCGACAAAAATTTGTGCACCAAAAAAATTATTTGCATCAAATTATTTACTTGATAAATCAACAACAGCGAATAATAATTATAAAGAATCGAAAAATTCAAATGAAAAATTTGATAATAATAAACAACAAAAACAAGATTCAAATCAAACAAAATTTTATCGTAATTATCGAAAGGAAGTTATTGGTAAGTTTCTTCTTCTATTTTTTTCTAATTTTTTTTCTGTAAAATTTCTCTATTATCATATATAGAATGTTGGGATAATGAACGTCGTGATAATGAACAAATTAAACAAAGAAAACATTCATTGAATAATAATCATAATCATAATGGCTATGATGATGATAGTGGTAGTGATCATAAAGGAAATAATGGCAGTTTGGCTAGCAATATACTTGATCTTCGAATCAACCATAACAACAACAATGATCATCATTTAAATTCTAATCAACAAACGGAAATGATAATTTCATCATCACCATCGTCGATTAAATATATGGCTGCCGATACATTGTCTGCTGCTGCTACTGCTGCTAATGCTGTTGTTAATCCTGATACAATAATGATGATGATGAAATCACAATTTGATCAAAATGAATCAAAATTATTATCATCATCAATCGATCATCATCATCATCATCATCAATTAGATCTATATAAACATTATTATTATTATCTAATGCAACAACAACAACAACAACATGAACAGGAACAATCAACATTTGCATCAAGAGTTGTTGCTGAAACATATGCAAAATTATTATCATCAACAACGAAAACAATAACAAGTCCGAATGGTAATGATCATTTGGATCGATCGACGACAACAAAATCACCACCAATTGGATTCGATACGAAAAATCAGCAATTCAATGGTAAATCATCATCGTTTGAAAATAATGGCCTTTATGAAACAAAACGTACATCACCAGATTGTAGTCAAGATGGTTTAATTATTATTAACGGTGGTAATGGTGGTATAACTGAATTACGTTCAGCTGATACAACTAATGGTACAATATTTGATCGTAAACGTATTAGTAGGCCATTAACTGGTAAACATGTTCGTCATGGTACTGGTGCAAGTCCAACAACATTATTAACATTAAAAAATATGATACAACAAAGACAAAAATTAAAAGAAATTAATCAATTTAATAATAATTTTGGTAATAATAATATTCGTTATGGTAAATCATCGACAAAAACAAACAAAAGAATTAAACGAAAATAATAAATTTGTAAACAAACATTACTTGCTTAATTAATTTATATAAAGAAAAATACACTCACCATTCACTAAATTTAATTTGTTTCTGGATAATCAAAATTTTGTTTTGTTTTTCTCTTTAAATTTTCAAAAATCAAATCTGTTCATCCATTTTTTTGGGGAATTTTTGTTTTCATTCCGTTTCATTTCATTTCGTTTCATTCATTAAATATATAATTCATAAGTAAAATAAAATAAATGTGGATAATTAAAATCTTTTTCATTTTATAAAGTTTATTTATTTTTAAAAAAACAAGGAAATCGAAAAAAATCAGCTCAACATTCGTTATATTTAATCAACATTCGAGTCCTATACTATATGAACGGCATCATTTGATTGTCAAAAAAAACGGGCGTTGTTGTCATTTTTCTGTGTTGTGAAAGTTTCTCGTGTGTTTATTATTTGCTCAATTTTTTTTTGTTTGTAAAAGAATTATTCCAAAATCAAAACAACAATGGCCAAAAATACGATAAGCAGCCAATTTCGTAAGATTGATGTTGATCAATTTTGTGAAGATGTTTTCAAAGAAGAAGATCAATTGGATCAAACTAGTCCGGCCGGTTTGAATGTTGATGAAAAAGAAATTAGCAATCTAATCAATTCGGGTAAATTAAAAGAAGCATTAAAATTAGTATTGAATTCATCACCAATTGGAACCAAAAGTCAACATTTACGTGATGCAAATTTTCAATTAGTATTAAAAGTATTATTATCGGTAAAAATTTCTGAAATTGAATCAATTTGTATGGAACTGAATTTTGATGAAATCGATATACTAATGAAATATATTTATCGTGGTTTTGAATTACCATCCGATAATTCAAGTGCACATTTATTAGTATGGCATGATAAAGCATTTCAAAAAGGTGGTGTTGGTTCTATTATTCGTGTATTAACTGATCGACGACGTGTTTAAACATGTATGAATTCTATAAATATATGTCCATCCCATCTAATGAAGCAATGAGAAATCTTTTTTTTTTCAAAAGAAGAATATTCCTGAAAAACCAATAAAAATTACCTTATTATTATTAAGATTTATTTTTTTCTGGCAAGGATGTATAATTTATATATTGGTATGAGAATGTGAATAAAATCAAATAAGTAAAAAATACAAAAATATTATTATTATGTTTTTTATAAGTCGATTAAAGGGTTTGCTGTTATGTGTGTTTGCTTGCGTTAAAAGTTGATGAGAAGTTTTACAAAAAACAAAAAATTTAAGATTTGGGTTTGCAATAAAGTTAAAAAGTAATTAGAAAACGATGATGAATAGAAAACAAGGAATGATGAAAAATCTGTCTGTTGTTTCTTATCAAATAAATTATTTTATATTAATGGTCTGCCGGCTGATTGTTGATGTTTGTGTAGTCGATGATGATGATGATGATAAGGTAAATGAATCGACAGGTCAAAAACGAAAGCAAATTGTTAAATATCATCCAATGGTCGAATGTTGGCTACACCAAAAAATACACTAAAGTTGGATAGAAAAAAAGAAAAAATTATATTTGAAAAAAAAGTTCAAGAAAAGAAAAGAAAACCATCATTACCTATCGGAATATTTATTTCGAATCGATTCCTGTTGTCTATTGTTTACAGGTTTTATCAATTGATTTAAACGTTTGGCTAATTCAATTAAATCTTGTTCACGATAACCAGTATAAAAATCTAATGTTTTATTCTAAAAAAATTACAACAACAACAAAGGGTTAAATTAAAAACTTTGCATTTTTAAAAATTGTTTTTTTCAATTTGTATACTCTTACCCATTGTAAATGTTTCATACGTAATGCTAATAATAATGATGCGGCAGCCATTTTTGAATCTAATTCATCAATAAATGTATAATCCATTAATGATGTTTCTAGTATAAAACGACTTAATGTTAATGTTTCTAATGTTTGTGATGAAACACGTGCAAAACGACGTAAAAAACTATATGATAATGGATAATTTAGATTAAATTGTAATACTTGTAGTATTTCTATTTCCATTTTTATAATATCATCACGAACATATGAATTATCGGTAATGTAAAGAAAATCTTCTATTATTGGATAGATTCTTTCCTGTAGAAGTGTGAATATGAAAAATTGATTAGAATTTTTTATCGTTTGAAAACAAAACAAAAAAAAAAAAAGACATACATCACATTTAGCAGCAATAAACATTGAAACAATACCAAGTAATTGTAAACGTGTACGTTTTATCTGTGATAACATTAGAAAATGATCCATAATCTTTATAGCATGATATAATGTTTCATGATTTAATTCAAATGTTTGTTGTACTTCAACCAACCAATCGATTAATATTGTACGCATCCTAGATGATATTTCTTTTTGTTGATGCATATATTTTACACAACGAGTTGTTTGTTCTTTTTCACGTAAATATTCAAATATTTCGAATGCATAAATTGGTTCGGAATTTATATTTTCCAATTGTGTACGATCATAATCGATAATATCTGCTGGTAGATTTTTTGGTGGTTCATAATAATCTTTTGGATCGATTCGATGTTTTTTATCATCATCAGCAACAGTCTTCGATGGTTGCTGTTGTTTTTGAACATTTGGCTTTGTTGTCGCTGCTGTTGATGATTTTTGTCCAATTGCATTACGATTTTTAACTGCTTTGATTGGCAAGTTTTTCGCTACTTCATTTTGTTGTTTTTTATTATTATTATTAATCATCAACGGTTTTAATGGTAAATCATTTTTCTGTGATATTTTTATATTCTTGATTTTGGTTTCGATCGTTCTGGTTGGATCGTATGCATTTTCATCATTTTTGATTGCCGCACCACCAGCAACACCAAAATTTTTCTTTTTTTTCTGCAATAAATTCGGTGGTGAATCACGGCCACGTTTCAATAATTTTGGATCATTTTTCGGTAATGAATTCTTTAATAGGCCATCCATTTGACCAACAACACCACCGCAACGAATATTTACCACATTAGCTGCTAATGGTCTTTTTTGAGCTTCCATATTTTTTTTTGTTTGTTTGTTTAAAGCCAAAATAAAATGAATGTAGATTCTAAAAAACAAAAGATAAAAAATGGATTAAATGATGATGATTTGAAGAATTTTAAAAGGCTTCTGATGTTTGTTTAAAAACACAAAATAATCATGATCCAAAAAAAGAAATAAACGATTAAACCAGAACGATCGAAGTTCAGAGTTGAATATGATATCTCGGTAAACGAGTGAGTGAAAAAAAATCGTTTGAAAATCGACTTGGTTGGTGTTAAATGCCAAACTTTTAGTCAGTCAGTCAGTGTCAAACGGTCTTCTCTCTCTTTCACTTTCGTGCATTTTGAAAAGTGCGCCCTCATATTTTTTCTGTGCGCACACAGTGTTGATCGTCGTCCATTTAAATTCATCAACCAATCATATTTCGTGTTTTTATAACGAATTTTTTTTAAATGTCCTTACCTTTGTTGTGTGTGTGTTGTGTGTTTGTGTGTCTGTTATCGATGAGTGTGTAATGTGCGCGCGCTTAACTTTTAAACAAAAATCTATTTATTTAAAAAAAAATAACACAAAAAAACTTATAAAATCTTTTTTAATCTTTTTTGATTTATAAAATTTTTTTGATTTTAAAAATTATTTTAACGAAATCGGTTTCGATTGTTTGGTATTCGAAAATTTGATTTGATTTAAATTGAATTAGGAAGAAAAATTGTGATCCATTCAAATAAAACGTTATCGAATTGCGCAGCAATTTTTTCAATAATGTTGTTTACATCACATGATAACACGAGGCACTGCAGTTTTGATTGACTTTTTTGAGTTTCCAATGTAAATCGTCGACATCATCGACATTCTTTTATCACAGGTTTTTTTTTCTTTCTCCTCCAAATATTAGGTTGATCTTAAATTTTAGCAGAATTTTTCTTCCAAAACAAAAAAACAATGTCATTATTATTAAAAGTAGCTGAATATGTAACACCAGTACTAAAAGAATCTAGATTTAAAGAAACTGGTGTACTGACACCCGATGAATTTGTTTTAGCTGGTGATTATTTAGTTCATCATTGTCCAACATGGCAATGGCAAACAGGTGATAAAACTAAACTGAAATCATATTTACCATCGAATAAACAATTTCTTATTACACGACAAGGTTTGTTTTAACACTTTTTGTCTGTTTTTAATTGATTTTCATTAATTTTTTTCTGTTTTTCCATTTTAGTACATTGCTCGAAACGTTATAAAGATTTAGAATCGATAAAATTTCAGGAACAAATTATTGATGAAAATGATTCGGAAGGTGGTTGGGTTGATGCACATGTTAATGATTCGAATAATGTACAAAACAATGATGACGACGATGATGATGATATTGTTTTGGGTGTTGAAGTTACCGAAGATAATGAATTAATTGATCAGGTTCGTGATTTGAAAATGGTTGCGGAAAATGATGACGAAAAAGACGATGGCGATGATGATGATAGTGAAGCCGAGGATATTGAAGCTTATATGAATCGTAAAGATGTTTCGGATGAAAATGATAAATGTGTTGCTGATCTTTTGAAAATACAACGCCAACAACAAGAATTTGAAAAATCAAAGAATTCAAATTCAAAAAATAATAATAATCGAAATGTGATTCAAACCCGTACATATGATCTTTATATAACATATGATAAATATTATCAAACACCACGTTTATGGTTATCCGGTTTTGATGAATATCTACAACCATTATCAATTGAACAAATGTATGAAGATATTAGCCAAGATCATGCAAAAAAAACTGTTACAATGGAATGGCATCCAAATATTCCGGGTATGATGGCTTCGGTTCATCCTTGCAGGTTTGTAAAATCAATCAATGATCAATCAATCAATCTTATCGATTATTTCAAATTTTCCTTTTTTTGATAAAAAAAACATAATAGACATGCTGAAATGATGAAAAAAATAATGACAACAATGGAAGAAAATGAAAAACAATTAGATGTGGATCGTTATTTAATTGTATTTTTAAAATTTGTACAATCAGTTATACCAACAATACAATATGATTATACACAAAATGTTTGTATGTAAATCTTGAAAAAAAGCCAACCGAAACAAGCAAAACCGAAATTTATGGAAATTTTCTTAAATTATAAAAAAAAATTATTAAAAATTAATCAATTTTTTTCTTTAAAAAATTCCTTTACCAACCATGAATGTATGTCATTTTAGGAATTTTTTGCCGTAAACATTCTTTTTTCGTTTTGAAAATTTGATTTTTCTTTATTTTCTTCTTCACGTTGTGTGTGATCAATCTTTATTCAAATCCATGCATTCGATTGATTGATTGATTTGATAGATTCTCACGATCCGATTTTTTTTTCTTCGATCATCATCATCGTTTATGGAGCCTGTCTTTTGCATTAAAGAAAAATCCAGTTTTGTCACCACCACCACCATCAGCAAACTTTACCCATTATCACCATTCAAATGATGATCATAACCAGAACAAATAAAAAAAAAGAATGAAGAAAAATCCATTATAATCGATCAAATCAAATCGATCGATTGATTGATTGAATGACATAAATACCAAGAAACAAAACAAAATGAAATTGAAAAAAAAAAGAAAGAAAGAAAATCTTTGATCATCTTTTTTTCTGAAATTAAAATGAATGGGTGGAGAATTTCATTTATTTATTTAACCAAAAAAACCAGGTTCAATCTAACCACATTGAACAAGCATAACCATTTTAAAATCACTTTTGGTCTTTTAATCATGGATGGATACAGAGAAACGCTGTCGATAATGATGATGATGATGATAATAAAATGAATTTTTGGGTTTTTTCTTCGTTTGTTTAATTGTCAAATGGACAATTGGAAAAAGAAGAAGGGATTTTCGGGAGGAAAAAAAGGATATTTCCATTTTGGAAAATGTAAATTTGATTCAATTATATCACCGATCTAATTTTAGATTTTCTTTTTTATTTTTGTTCATTTTTGGTGTATGGTAACAAACAAACAAACATTTGGATAATAACCGAATGACCATATAGATAGATTTATTTGATTTTTTTACGACGACAACGATGGGATGGATCGTTTGATTCGGTCTATCAGGAATGAATTTTTGTTCGTTTTTGATATGGCGATCCATTGTTTTTTGGTTCACATTTAGTTTAAATAGCCAACAAGCAAAACCATAATGGTAAACTGATTTGTTTAGGCTATTTTTTTTCTGTTGTTGTTGTCAAATTGAATAACCGAAATGAAAAAGAAAAGAAAACACAACAGAAAATTCATTCAACCATTTGGTTTCATATATAGGGATATTATTTACATAAACAGTGATTGTTGTTGGTCGTTTAAATAATAATATTTATTTATTTATAAAAATAGTTTTTTTCTCCCCTTCCATTTGGTAAAATAAATAAATATAGGTGCGTAGGTGTTATGAAATTGTCAAAAATTTTTGTTGTTTTTCATGTTGTTGGACAATGGTTAGTCGGGGAATAATAATAATGTTTGATTGTTCAGGATGAACAAATCAGAACAATATTAATATAGATGATATTAATAAACAAGAAAAAAAAGAGTGAGTGGGAGCTGAGAATATTATTAGTAATTTTATTTTAATAATGAATTTTTTACAGTGAGAGCGATCCATTTCTATCGACAAACAAAATAAAAATTATAAAAAAAATTAAAAATTTTGTTTTTTTTTGAAAATTTTAAAAAATTCACTAAATTTCATAATCAACCTAACCTCACTCGACTATGAATCACAGTCATAGTCATCAACCTAACCTCACTCGACTATGAATCATAGTCATAGACATTGTCATCAACCTAACCTCACTCGACTATGAATCATAGTCATTACCTAACCTAATCTAACTCAACTCAAAATCATTTTTTTTCCATAATCCAACAATTTTGTAGAGATAATCCCAAAAATCTTTCAAAAACAATCGTTATTTAATATATTGATTTGCTTTCAGTAAAAAAAAAAACAAAAACAGCAAAAATTTCTTTCCGCATTTTTTCTCCCAATTATTCATTATCATCACCTTCAAAAAACAACAACGTTGAAACAAAAAAAGTTGACAATCAAAATCAAATTATGATAAGATTTTATCATCATCGTCGAAAACAAACCATTCGATTCAAAATTCATCATCATCATTATAATTTGTTTTAAATTTGTTTATGATCAGAACAAAAAAATCCTTCTATTTTCTTCTTTACCTTCCACTATTATTATCATCATCATTATAACAAGAGATTTTTTCTTCATCTTTATTTTTTGGCAACCAAACGCACACACACACGACAAACAACCCGAAGATGGTGTTGGTGGTGGTGGTAAAGAAGAAGAAGAAGAAAAAAACAGGATTTTGATCTTGAATATTACAACGGCGCCAATCATCATTTTATTTCATCAGGTAACCAATTCATAAGTGAAACATAGTGATTGAATCTAGGTCAATCACAGGTATAGGTCAAAAACTACCAACCAACCGACCGACCTATCGACTAAATATTTTGTTGTTTTTTATTATTATTTACCTGATTTGTCGTCCTGTTCTGATCATAAGGGGAAAAAAATATGGCGTCTTTTAAGGATACATGATGGCATGGCATGGTATACATATGGAATATTTGGTCGATATTTTGATATAAACTTTACCTTTACCATACAGGTAAAGGTGATGTGTGTGTGTAGTGTACCTAGATCGAATTTAAAAACGAAACGATTTTTTTTATTTTTCTGGTTCTCATCAAAACAAACTTGATCAGTTGTTCTGGAATTTTGTTTTCTCTCATCTTTTTGCTTTGAAATTTGTCTCTTACATTTTTTTTCTCTTACGTTGAGATTACCTGAATTCAAACTGAACGGTATTTTTTTTGTAATGAATTTTTTCTGTGTTTCTTCGTTTTCATTTTTTCTTTTCTTCTTCGTTCTTTCGGTATGTGCTTGTTCGGTTCGGGTGAGAAAGATCTGAAGATTATGATGAGCGAGAAAGAGAGAGAAAAAAAATTAACATGTGAATATCTTTTTGGTTGAAAAAAATATTGGGTGTTAAGATTTTTGTTGTTGTTTTGTTTTGCGTTAAAGATTTGATCGGCTTCTGATTTATTTATCATTTCATTTCAATTCGGTTGTTGTTTGAAATTGTCATTTTTTTCAGAAAATCTTTTAATCAACTTTGTTGAACCAACTTTACAATTGCGATTCTGTCAACGATTTGAATGTTTGTGTGTGTGTTTTTCGAAAAAAAAAAATTTATTCAGTGAATATCGATATAATCGATAGTGACGATGTTTATCGATTGTTTTGAATCGATAATCTCGATAATCTTGATTCGTGTTTGAATCGATAAATGAATAAATAATTTTGTTTCAAAAAAAAAATTTCATTTCCTAAATGATAAAATATTTTTTTTTGTCAAAACAAGTGTCATTTTCATTTGATTATTTGAAATTTTTTTTACAATTTTGCTAATTTCAAAAAAAATAGGTAAGTTTTATTTTAAACAAAACATTTTTAAAAATGTCAACCGAAAATCAAAACATTTTTTCACTGAATCAATCAATCCAAAACATTCATAATGTTTACCTGTCTGTCTATCGATGTCTATTTTTTTCATTTCCTTAAGATTTTTCAAAATCATTATCATCTTTGATTTTTGTTGTTTTGACTTGAAAACAATCAAAAAAAAATTCTCTCTCACTCTGATCATGTAACACAATTTTTGCTTGAATGAACACCATTTTCAAGAAAAAAAATGCTGATATCATTTTGATTATAATGATGATGATGATCGAAATGATCATCTCCATCATCTTGATCATCATCATGATGTCATTTCAAGTTTTATTCAGTGTCAAATCCAAAAGAAAAACAAAAAAAATGATTGAGTCGAGTTTTTGATGGAAGAAAATCCTATTGATTGATTGAAGAAGAAGAAGAAAATTGCTACTTTTTTGGCTGATGATATCACCTGTATGTCAATTTTTTTTGTCTTTTGGTTTTTTTTTTGCTGATTTTCCAATGTTTTCAATCAATGATTTTCAAGGGTGAAAATAAATCAAATGAATGATAATCATTGAAAATGTTGTCAATAATTCATTTTTTTTTTTTTTTGTTTTTTTTTTGGCTTTGTTTAAAAAAATTTCCTATATGATTAACNACCTGTATGTCAATTTTTTTTGTCTTTTGGTTTTTTTTTGCTGATTTTCCAATGTTTTCAATCAATGATTTTCAAGGGTGAAAATAAATCAAATGAATGATAATCATTGAAAATTTTGTCAATAATTCATTTTTTTTTTTTTGCTTTGTTTTTGGCTTTGTTACATAACATTTCCTATATGATTAACTCTTACGAATAACTGTGACACCTGTAAATACGAAGAAAATATATTTTTTTTTTTTTGGCGAACAAAAAATGATTGAAAAAATACCTGTGTGATTGTCACCCTTGTGATGATTATGTGTTCAGGTAATTTTTTTTTTCATTGTTTTGGTTTTTTGGCCATCAATCAATCAATCAGAGGGATCTTTATCAGTTTTGCAACCAATGAATGAAATTTTGAATAATATTCTATTTCTACCCATTCTGGTCCATTGAGATTTGAAAATAAAATAAAATTATCATATCGTACAAAATTCAATTTTCTCCATTCGAAATTGATTTTCGATATTAATTTCTATTTTTAACCAATTTTTTTTTCTTTCATTCTTTCATTTCATAATTTCCATTTTCATAAATGTGATGATTGTTCTTTTAGTTTGTTCTTTCGATTCAATTCATTTCGATTCAAAAAGAATATAATAGATTTTTGTTGTTGTCGTTGTTCACTGCTTCTGGATAATAATAATCATCCAACCGTTGATTATTATCCGATGTTTTTTGTTCCTGATGATAATTTATTTTCTTTGAACATCCAAAAGGATTTTTTTTAACGATTCGCTCGTTCGATGTGCCAATGATGATCAACTTAAAGAGTTTTCTTATAGATCAGGCAAAAGGAAAATTCTTCAATTGACCAACATTTTCATTTCGGTCATTTGACCGACTTCAATTGATAACAACCAACCAACCAAAAATTGATCATTTTTGTTTCAAAAATTTAAGGGAAATAAAAAAGATTTCCAATACAGTTTTCTGTCCGGTTGGTTTCAATTGTGTGTGTGTGCTGGATTGACCGATAAAAATTTCTTTCAAAAAATTAAAAAAAAATTTCTTTTTAACCATTATCATCATCATTATCATCGTCAATGACGATAACGATGATTATCTTCGGGTAATTTTTCCATTATTCTTTTCTTCTGGTGGTCAGATGATCATCATAATAATTACATCCTAATATGGTCCTTATAAGGATGTGATTGTAATGGTGGTGGTGGTGGCCGATGATGATGAATACAGAAAAAATCATTATCGTTTTTCATTTCAAAGAAAAAAATCATTTTGTTGTCAATTCGAATGTGGTTTTACGTTTTTCGGTAATTTGTAATTGCTTATTGGTCATCATCATCATTTTCATATCATTTCTATTGACCATTCATTCATTGTCCATCGATTAAATTCAATTCGTTTGAATTGAATTGAATTGAATTCAATCCAGGTTTTGTAAATTGAACAAGAAAAAAGAAAAAAGAAAAACTTATTTTGTTCTTCGATTTGGTCATTGTTGTTGTCCGCTGTTGTCTTGATCAGGCTAGAATCAGGTTGATTTTTTTTCAAATGAATCGACCAACTGACCGATCAAATTGTCAATGAAAATAGAGACGACGATGATAACGACAAATTATGATTATCCCTTTTAAATGTCTAAATGTTTATTTATTTATTTACCCCTTATCAAATCTTTATGAATAACCCTCATCTACCTACCTTTATTAGATACTAAATATTTGACCTGATTATCTTGGCTAAATGATGGTTTTTGGGTTTGTTTTTTTTAAATTTGATGACCGTATTTATTGGTGGTCTTGATCTCGATTCTTTGATTTCTTTCTCTCAATCACACACACAGGCATAAACTCTCTTTTTTCATCTTCATCTTTCACCTAGATTGATCATCATCATCATCATTTTCGGTTTATCAAATATAAATCAATGTCACCAATGTTTTTTTCTTCTTTTTGAAAAAAATATTGATTTTATAGGAGATTCGAGAATCAAAAATTCATTCAACCACAACACCAAACCAACCAACAAACGATTTATCTTTTCAAATATTTATCTATTTAGCCAAATCTTATTTTTTTAGACAAATTTCATTCACCTATTTCTACCTCAGTCTCTAAATGACAATTTCATTGTCAAATGGATAAAATGTTTTTCATTCATTCGCTTAATATTATTTTGAATGATGATGATTATAATTGTCATAACGATAATGATATTTTGCTTTCTTTCTTTCGTTATTTGGATATGTGAATCATTTAGATTGACAGATGAACCGTTTCGGAATTTTGTTTGTTTGTTATCATTGTTGTCACTTATGTAGAAAAAAATATTGCCTATTTTAACTGGGTGAAGAAGTAAAAAAAAAGAAGATACCCTGAAGTTAAGAAAAAAAAAGATCAAACTGATAAAGAAGACCTAGATTTTTTTTCTGTATTGGATGAAAATAGCCAAAATGTGCAATATTGATGATAAAGATGATAAAGTTTCTGATTGTCACATCTTTTCTATTGTGTTATACTATAGTGGAAAATGGAAATTTCATGATCGAATAATGTTTGAACCAAATTTTTTTAAAATTATCTTTGAAACCGGCTTTTTTTCACACTCTGAATTTTACCCTGTTTTTTACAGATTATAATGTTTAATTACGGAAAAATGTTGACGACAACGGCGACGGCGACGACATTAGCGATAACAACGTTTCGTACAACAAAATGGTCAATATTGACGACAATTCGTTCAATCATTTTTCTCTGTCTTATAACGGTAATCAATTTGTAATCAAGAGAAATTACTTTACTTTACTAAACTTTTTTACTTTTAAAACACACATAGGATATAATGGTAAAAGAAATCGATAGCAAATCTGATCTATTGGAAGAGGAAACAATATCAATACCTGCTGAACATCGTTCATTTCCTGATCAATATGATATGGATGATGATCATTTGAATAACCAAAATCAACATAATCAACAACATTCAAATGGTATACCAACTGTATTTATGAAAAATAAAAATTTCTATCAAAATAATAATATGAATAATAATAATAAATTACCATCAATGGATATAAATAATCAAAATGAATTATGGCCAATGGTACGGCCAGAATCATCAATGATTAAGGTAAGCAACTAAGCAACAATAACAACAAAGAAAAACTGATCAATCAGAAATCAGCAAATTCGAATCGATCGCTATTGATTTTTTTTTTTTTTTTTTTTTTTTTTTTTTTTTTGTTCGTTTTTTTTTTTTTTTTTTTTTTTTTNCCATCAATGGATATAAATAATCAAAATGAATTATGGCCAATGGTACGGCCAGAATCATCAATGATTAAGGTAAGCAACCAAACAACAACAACAACAAAGAAAAACTGATCAATCAGAAATCAGCAAATTCGAATCGATCGCTATTGATTTTTTTTTTTTTTGGTTTTCTGATCGATCGATTATTTCATTTCTGTATTCGTTTGTTTTTTAACCCGAAAAAAAATTGAAAAAAACAAAAATCAAACATCAATCTTTCATCATCGGAATAACTTGAATAAAATATTTTTTATTCAAGAAAAACAAACAAAAACAAAAAAATCAATCAATCGATTGATTGAAATGAAATGAAATGAAATGAAATTCTCTCTCTTCATTTATTATTCCGAAAAAAAGTGTGTGTGTTTACGAAACAAAAACAAAAAAAATTTAGGTCGAAAGGTAGTACATACACACAATTATAACGGTGTAGCGAAATATTTTCCTTCGTTCATTCGTCAATGAACGAAGGAAAAACATTGACCGACTAACTTGACTTGAATATAACCAAGCAGCAACACAGCAAACATTCCTTACATAATAATAATCGATTACCCGGTATATTTGTACTTGTTTGTTTGTATGTATGTGAATCCATCACACACACATATATCATCAAAAGAGATTTTGAAAAAATTTGTAAAATGCAAGTTTTCTACCATTCTTACCATTTGAGTTTTCGTTCTCTCTCTTGCTCACGCAATCTTGATGCTGTTTTGGTTGTGCGCGAATATTATTTGTATAAAATTAGCCCTGTTTAAACTTGAAAACTTCTGCTTCCAATATGCCTTCCTTTCATTTCATTTCCATTCCAGTTTTGACAAAAAATTTTTTTTTCTGCAGAAAAAAAAACACCAACGGTGTGTGTTTTATGAAGAAAAAAACAATGTAGGAAATCATTATTAATCATCATTTCATTGAAGAAAAATGTAGTTTTCTTCCGAGTATACGAGAGGGTATAGTTTACAAACGAGAAAAACAATTTGTAATTCATAATGATGATGATGATCACAATTGGTCATTTCTTCTTGATGATTTTTTGATGATAAAGGTGATGAATCTAACCCCAGAGAAAGACAATAGGTTGAACAAATAATAATGATGATAATCCTCTCTCTCTCTCTCTCTTCAATGATCTTTAATGGTTATGGAATGATGATGATGATAATGATCATCATCATGTCGTAGGTTGATCATATCTTCAAACACTGACCATTCATTGCAATGATGAACGATGATCATTGATAATATGAATTTCGAAAATGTATGGAAAACACACAATCCACATGATTATATATGGATGGTTTGAAAAAGTTTTTTCGTTTTTTTGGGATGCTTTTTTTCATCTAAACCAAAAAAAAAATTGGATACTTTTTGGCTGGCCATCATTTGAACATCAGCAACAATAAACATTGTTATTATTGATTGTGATGGTCAACAGAAAGAAAGAAAGAAAAAAATAAAGGTCATCATAATCGTTATTTTCATTGGTATATGATTATGGTTTTATAATCGAAAGAATCGAGAGAAAAAAATGGAAAAGATTTTTGATCTGATCTGATTTCAATGATGATTTTTTTTTGACTTTTTAACCCGTCACTTGATTCTAAGTGACAAAAACTTCTTTTTTTTGTTAAAAAAAAAATTAATTTTTTAATCGATCGATTTTTGACTAAACGGACAATTTTATCTAATAATTTTTTCATTTTGTTTCACCCCACAACTAGACAATCAATGTTAAATGTGAAAAAAATCAAATGAAAGTTAATATTGAATTTGATCGACCATTTAATGGTGTTATTTTTAGCAAAGGATATTATAGGTAGGTAACTATCAATATAATCATTATTACGATGGTGATTGTGATTATCGATTTTCTTTTTTGTATTTGACCGACTTTTTCTCATAATCGTTACCTTTGTTTCTCTACTTTTAGCGACCCAAAATGTATACATTTGCCTGCAGGTAAGGAATTTTCTTCGTCTATTAATCATGTTAACCTTGAATTTAATCCATGTTTTTTTCGTTGTTTTAATTTACCTTTAATTAATACCTGATATGGTGATTATTGATTGATGAAGGATCCGGAAAATTACAGGCAAATTTTGAAATCTATCTTGGATCATGTGGAATGGCAAGTAGTGAAAAAACAAATCTTCCAGCACCATCTTCATCATCACTGGGTTTATTTATTGAAAATACAATCATTATACAATATGATCCACAAGTACAAGAAATATGGGATCAAGCAAGAAAATTACGTTGTACTTGGTATGATTTTTATGAAAAATCAGTTACATTTCGTCCATTCAATGTTGATATGTTGGATGCGGTGACGGCAAATTTTTTGGGTGATAATATTCAATGTTGGATGCAAATACAAGTTGGTAAAGGACCATGGGCTAGTGAAGTTGCTGGGATTGTTAAAATCGGACAAACAATGACAATGGTATTGGCCATCAAAGATGAAGAAAATAAATTCGATATGTTGGTTCGAAATTGTATTGCACATGATGGTAAACATCAACCAATTCAATTGGTTGATGAATATGGTTGTATAGTACGGCCGAAAATTATGTCCAGATTTCAACGAGTGAAAAATTTCGGTCCATCCGCAACGGTTGTTTCATATGCATATTTCAAAGCATTCAAATTCCCTGATTCAATGAATGTACATTTTCAATGTGTCATACAAGTTTGTCGTCATGAATGTCCACCTGCTAATTGTGAAGGTGATGATTATGGTAACAACGGTGGTAAAGATGATAATCGAAAATTTTTAAATCGTTTTGGTGAAATAGCAACAACAACCGTATCAACAATATCGCATCATGCTAGTCAACAACAACCATTATTGCGACCAAATCAATCGCTAACATTGAATGCAATTGGTGCTATGCCCAGATCGCTTAATCTAAACAAATTGAAACGAAAGAAAAAATCAATAAATTCCTATACAGATTATCAAGCTGATGATAATGTTGATTCTGATAAATTAAATACTTCAACCGATGTTAATACGGAAAAAATAATTAAGGTTGTTGCACCAGGTGATGTTGCTTTTTCGTTACCGCTGACCAATAATAATAATAATAACGGTAATGGTTATGGATCTATGGATAATTTCATACCGATAACCGATGAAACAATTAATGATTCAACAAGTTTAATTTGTATACCTGCAACTGGTTTTATTATAAGTATTGTTTTATTTACATTACTTTTGATGATTACCTGTGCTGTTACAATTATATTAGTTATTCGTTTAAAAAATATAACATCATCTAATTTAATTAAAAAACAACAACAACAATGTTCAAAACAACATATTTGTAATGATAATTTACAACAACAACAACAACAACCACAACAATCGTTACCATATTATCTTACAATGAATGTTTCATAAATTTGATTGATTTTTCATTTTTCTATTTTTATTAATTATAAAAATTGTCGTTGAAAGCCAAATTATCATTGTAATTGATTTTCCGTAAATGATTATTATTTTTTTATTACTTTTTATAACTTTTATTTTTTATTTTTTGTATTTATCCTCACTATTACCATTTGTAATTCCACAGTAAAAAAATTGGCTACAAAAATTTTACAAAATTTCATTGATTATAATCTTTTTCTTTTACTATTTATTTTTATTATCATTTTTTTCTTTTTGTATTTAATTGATTATAATACTGATATTTTGATAAATAAATCATTTTATTTTCTTTAAAATCAATGGTTTCTTGTTGCTTCTTATTTCTCAGTTTTTTAGTCGACATTTTTTTCTGTTTTGTTTTTGCTTTTTTTTTGGTTGATTTGAAAAAATTTTTAAAATTTTTCAAATCAAAACTTGAACACGAGATGGCAGCCCGATCGTTTCAAATTTCAACGAAAATCGTTCCAATTGTCATCAATAGATGTCGTGTTTGATGATATTGTTTTCGAAATAATGTTCGAAAATGAAACTAAAATTTGGATTTTGAACTTTGAAATTTGATAACATTTTTCGATTTACTAAATAAAAAAATATTAATTATTGATAAGATAATCGATCGATCGAAATATCGACCGATCATTTTCAAAACCAAAAATCATCATTAATGTTTTTGTTTTTCAATTTTGAACGAGCAACAAACTTTTTCATCATTTTCTGGTGTTTTCGTTTTATGAAATTTTTCTCGAGTAAAACAACAACAAGGTGACAGTGGGAAAAAACAATGTCTACGACTAATGATCAACTGATTGACAATAAAAATGACAATCTTATTGATGATGATGATGAACATCCAAGAAAATTAATACCAAAATTATGTAGACAAATGTATAAACTTGGTTGGGTAACCGGTACTGGTGGTGGTATGTCTATACGGATGAATAATCAGGAAATTTATATTGCACCATCAGGTGTACAAAAAGAATGTCTGAAACCAGAACATTTATTCATCATTGATATTGATGGTAATGTTAAATGTTTACCAACAGCGAAAAAATTATGTTTAAAACAAAGTGAATGTACACCATTATTTTTAACTGCATATCGTCAACGTAATGCTGGTGCTGTTATACATAGTCATTCAATATCGGCAGTTTTAGCTACAATTATAACCGATGGTCGAGAATTTCGTGTTAGTCATCAAGAAATGATTAAAGGTATAAAACGTGGTTCAACCAATGAAAATTATCATTATAATCAAACATTAATCGTACCGATAATTGAAAATACACCATTCGAACGTGATTTAACTAAACAATTAGAAAAAGCATTGGAAGAATATCCGGATACAAATGCCGTATTGGTACGTCGTCATGGTGTTTATATTTGGGGTAGAACATGGAAACAAGCAAAAACAATGGCCGAATGTTATGATTATCTATTCAATTATGTTGTACAATTGAAACAATTTGGTATCGATCCGGTTTTAAAATCAACAACAAATGGCTGTCATTAATGATGTTCAGATACTTTTGATTTTCGTTTTCTGATTGATCGATCTAAATATTTACATAATGAAATTTTGAAAAACCGAACGACACCCATCTGTTGTTTTTGTTTCTTCTAAAAATATTTTTTTTTTTCAATGGGTTATATTTTGCTTGCCGACCAACATAATATTCAATGTTGACTTTGATGATGTTCATTATGGAAACATCATTTTTTTTTAAATAAAAGAAAATCACCTGTTTTGACCCAGTGTTTGTTTGTTTGTGTAATGAAATAAATACCTTTAAATAGCTATACAAGAACAAGAAAATCAATAACCAAAAGATGCTAATGATATCTAAAAAATGATTGATCATCATCAGGCTTTAAACATTTTTTCTTTTGAATTCAAATGATGTCGAAGGAAAACAAACAAATTGACTAACTGCAAACAATCACGCGAATCAATTTACATCAACACAAACATAAACACAAACACAAAATCCTTATGTAACGCATCTCAGCATAAGAACCTAAATAAAAAAGAAAACAAACAATAAGATTAAAAACCTACGCCTACACACAATGATAAATTTCAAAATCTTTCGAAAAAAATGAAGAAAAAACTTTGGTTCAAATCTTGAGGATTAAGATTTTTTCAAGTTTAAAAAGTTGAAAAAAAAATATTTAAAAATATCACATTTTTGCTTGTTTGTTTGTTTGTTAAATATTTGGTTCATTTCATCTGAATGATCATCATTCAAAACTACTGTGTGTGTGAATGAATTGATGATATTTTTCGATGAAATCTTTTATGTTTCAAATGTGTGTAATGTACAATATGGTATCGGGTTACTAAAAAAAATAATATTTTTTTTTTTGTTTCCTTTTCATTCGATGACGATGATGATGATTTTGACATAGAAAAATCAACAACACTGAATGGTACAGATTGGGTTTTTTTCGTTTTGTTCAAAAGAACAAAACGAAAAAAAAGGTTTAAAGGTTACCGATCAATTCCATTGAAATAAAGGATGATGATGATGATTTTTGACTGTTCGATGATAATTATCTTTTTTTTTTTTTTTTTTGGATGTTTGTTTGTCTCGTTTATTCATCATCATCATTGTTTGTATCATTCTGATCATCATGTTGATAATGAAAATCAAAAAAAAATTGAATGGATAATCTTTCGTTTGCATTGTTCCAACATTTTGTATCCCATTATATGATGATATCCGACCTATCTACAATGATGATCATCAAACATTGATTTTCTTTTCTTTGTTTTTCAAACTAATTTGCCAATGAAGATCACGTTTGCTTTATTTTTTTTGTTTCGGTAATTAACGATAATTATCCATTGAAAATTAACAACAACAGAAAAAAAACATCTGGTTAATCTGTTTAATTTGATCCAAATTTTTCAAAACAAAAAAACCGAAAATGACCAATTCAAATCTGATGATGATTTTTCATTTATCATCCATTCAGTTCAGTTCAGTTAAGCCATAAATAGATTTTTTTTCCACTGCAAACCAAATGAAAAAAATCATTGTAAAATTGTCTCCACACAAAGGTAAGGTATATATTTTGTAGCTATATTCACCTTGTTTATTTTTTCCATGTTCTTTTCTCTACTTGGCGCCATTCGTCTTGTTTGTTAACCAACCAACAAAACGACCAAACGACAAAAAAAAAGATGATGGGATAAATTCAATTGTTTTCGTTTCTCTCAATCCTGGATGAGAAATTTGAAGAAAATCAACAAAAGAGTCTGACACAGAGACATAGTTTTTTTTTCTTTTTTTTTGTTGGCCAAATCAGTGAGTTATCTTACCTAAATATTTCTCTTTCTTTTTTTTTGTTTTCTCTATTTTGTTTTTTCTATTATCAGCATCGTTATCGGTCGACATTGTCAGGTTGAAGGTACATTGCATTGAAAAACAACAACAAATCAACAACAACAACAACAACAATGTCCGATGAAGAAATCAAAAATTGACCGATTCGATATTTTAGTTTGAGAGAAAGATATCTTCTTCTTTTTTTCGGATTCTGTTCCAATATCACTTTCCAATATCTTGATGATAATCTCATGAATGTCACCATTTTGATTTCTTGGTTGATTTATCGATGATCACGATTAGTGGTTTTTCGTTCCGACTGTGGATAACCGTGTTAAAAAAAAATCAATTTTTTTATGTTTGTTTTTTTGTGTCTATTTTTTTTCAAAATCTTCATTCACAACTTGATCAACTATTTCAAAAAAAAAAAAATTTCTCAAATTTTCTATTCAATTATCAAATCAAATTAAACCAGGAAAACAAAAATGAATTCTCTCAAAACGTTGTTCATTCCGACTTTGTTCGTTTCATTATCTGTAAGTAAAAAATCTTTTTCATTTTCAAATCAAATTGATCAATTATCGATTAGAAATCGATTTGAAAAACAAAACAAAACTATGTCAAACCTAATTCAATTTTTTTTCAAAATTATCCATGATGATTACACCATCAATCGATTATTGATGATGTTGATGATTAATCATTCGGTCCATTCAAAGTTTCTGTCTTTTGTTTTTTTTTTCATTTGTCGAAGTAATTTGTTAAATTTAGTAGCCGAAAAACAAATGCACAAATCATCAATTTCTGATGATAAAACTGGGTTAATGAAAGTTTTTTCTTTCTGGTTTTCTCATCATCATCATCATCAATGGACAAACAAACAAACGAAAATTTCAGGTTCAAAACCTTGACCAATTTACCAATCCTGGTAATCATTATATAATTAGCATCCATGACAATGTCCATTGACATCGTTTTTTCATACTGGTCATTTCATTTAATACTGACCATTCATTTCATTTCATTCGTTTGTTGAATGTCAAATTATAATTAGATAATTCATATCGTTTGACTTTGAAAAGTTTTTCAAATGAAATTAAGAAAATAAACATTTTTTTTCATAGATAAATGATGTTACTGGATAGCGGAAAAGCCTTTCAGGTAGATAAAATGAGAAAGACATTGAAAAAAAGATGCACCAAGTAGACTCTTGACCGAAATATTTAAAAGAAAACATCGCATAACAATATGATGTCCACCCTGAAAACGAAACGAAACATAATCATCGTTGATGATTATGGGCGTCATATTTTTCATAGGTAGATACAAAACATTCAGGTAACCTAGAGAACAATTAAACAAATATCATATGGAATATGAATGAATGGACATTGAAAACCAGAAATGAAAAGACAGGTAAATATCATAATCATCCCGAATGAATGAATGAATGAATGAATTTTTTTATCGTGAATAGCTTCTCATTACCCGTTTATTTCTTTATCCTATGGAAAAAAAGAAAACAAAGAACCGATAATAATAATAATAAGATTATGTTTAGGTTATTTAAAGAAAAAAAAAATCTTAATCTTAATCATAAAGAATCATAAGAAAGAAAGAAGATGATGAGGTAAATGTGTCAAAATGTTGTTATTATCATGATGTTTTTTTTTCATTGAAATTGAAAATGTATCATCAATTGGCTGGTTGGTTTATTAACACCTTTGTCATCTTTTATCAACAGAAAAAATGTCATCATCATCATCGCTTGTACACGAATCATCGATCATATCATGATGACCGAATATAGATTTTTTTTTGAAATAAAAATAAAAAAAGAGATTATCGTGATTGATGATAACCGGGTAGAGCAGAAAAAAAATATAGATCAATTCCCGGCTACTTTTTTGTTCCCTGGTCATCAAAGGCAACAAAATGATGTCAAAGTTTATAAAAGTTGATGATGAAAAAAAAATTCACAAGTTTTTTTTCTGATTTCTTTTACAGAATTCCGAAAACAAAAACATGACATCCATATTGACTCAATGATGATGATAATAATAACAATCGTGTCTGTGTGAAAATTTTTTCCAAAATTAAAATTGACAAAAGGTGATAATGAGAAAAAGAAGAAGAAAACTCGGAGAAACATTCAATCATTCAATCAAACAAACATTCCGAAGATGTTAACAAACAACAACAAACACTCAATGTCAATGTCATGATCAAAACAGAAAAAATGTAACACATTTTGATGATGATGATAATGATCAAAACAACATTCGATTGACACACATAATGAAACAAACAGAAAACATGACCAAATAATATTGAATAGGAAGGTGAAGATCAAGGTGAAAATTATCTTCTCAAAGGATTCTTCTTCACCATTATTATCAATTTTGTTAATATGATAGATTCGATTGTTGATCGAATGTTTTTTCTTTGTTTTCCAATCGGATATTCGAATGTAAATAATGTCGGCTGATTGATCGATTTGTGATTGATTGTGATTGGTTTTTTCGTTTTTGACAACCAAGAATCTTTGTTTTTTCGATAATAATAATATTGTAAAATGATTAGGAGATTCACCCGCGAAAAAAATATCGGTTTTTTCGTTGACTTTTTTTTTGGTTAGCCAAATTTAATCTTGATTATCTCTTTGTTTTTGGTGAAACAATAATAATTTTCACCAAATGATCATCACCATCTTGTCACATTCGATATCCAGAAATGGTAATAAATTTTTTCGAAAAAAAAATTTCTTCCTATTTTTTTTCGCTCTGTTTGGGAAAAGAAAAGAAAAGAAATGTAAAAAAAGGGTCAGTTCCTTCTCTGTTTGTTTTTTTTCTTCGGTTCATTTTCCATCAATCACTTGCCATTGTTTTTTTCCATCAAATAAACCACAGACACGGTAATTTCGTTTGTTTGATGGGATTGTTTGGTTTCTTTCCTTCTTCCTTATCATTTTCGGTGTTAACTTTATTTGTTTTATTTGTTTATTATCACCAACCACCAACCAACCATCATCATATTTAATAGGTTATAATTGTTGACACAATCATTATCGATCACAATCATATCATTAAGAATAAAAATGGCCATCATCAACAACAACAACAACAACAACGACCAACAACAATACCATTATCATCATTTGCTCGTCGTCAACAACGACAAATTATTCAAGATTCATTTGGTTCGAATCCATATCTACCGGTAAGAGTAGGGGGGTTGAAATAGGCGAAAATTCTTTGAGAAATTTTGTAATTTTAATTTTATGATTTTTTTTTGTTTTTATCTTTATTGTCCATTCTAAATACTGATCATTATTCAAGATGAATGGAAAAGAAATGAATTTTTTATTACTTCGTAATGGTATGACAAGAATGATAACACCAACATCTTCTTATCATCAACATTCGAATATGAATTTACCATCATCGTCATCATCATCAATAGTACAACAACAACGACCAACAATTTCATCGCAACAATTTCGATCGGATCAACACGTTGTCCAATATCAACAACAACCATCACAAATACCATCATTATCATCGAAACAATCATTATCATTAGCATCATCACCACCACAACATGCTGTATTTCAACCACCACCACCAAATTTTAAACCAAATATTGCTATTGAAAATAATCTTGAATTTGATCTACAAAGCGATTCATCAAGTAAGTTTTATTATCATCATCATCATCAAATGATCATTGATGATCATCATCAGGATAATCAGGTCAAACAATAATAATAATAATTTTAACTAGATCGAATCGATCGATTCGATTGTTTGGTTTGGTTTTGTTCTGGTTGTTTGTTTTATTATTGTTTGATCTTTCCTGATGATTTTTGGTTTTTTATTTTCTACACACGCCTATTTTTATTTTTTTCTGTGTTTATTTCCAGGAGATAATAATGAACAATGGCCATCATCATCATTATCCGCATCGAACAATGATCAACCAAAAATTACATTTTTAGATGTTAAATGTGATAGAAATTCAATGAAAGTATCAATACATTTTGATAAACCATTTCATGGTGTTATATTTAGTAAAGGACATTATACATATCGAAATTGTATATATCTAATGCCAAATAGTGGTGTAAAAAAATTATTTTTTGATATTTCCATTAATTCATGTGGTACGACTGGTAATGCACAAGGAACATTTTATAATGAAGATGTTGGCATTGATAATGGATTATATTTTGAAAATACAATCATTATACAATATGATCCACAAGTACAAGAAGCATGGGATCAAGCAAGACGTTTACGTTGTACATGGCATGATCAATATGAAAAAGCAGTTACATTTCGACCATTTCCAGTCGATATGTTGGATGTTGTACGTGCTGATTTTGCCGGTGATAATGTTGGTTGTTGGATGCAAATACAAGTCGGTAAAGGACCATGGGCAAGTGAAGTAGCCGGAATTGTCAAGATTGGTCAAACAATGACAATGGTATTGGCTATCAAAGATGAAGAAAGTAAATTTGATATGTTGGTTCGAAATTGTATTGCACATGATGGTAAACGTTCACCAATCGAATTAGTCGATGGAAATGGTTGTATAGTACGGCCAAAATTGATGACAAAATTTACAAAAATTAAAAATTTTGGATCCAGTGCTAGTGTTTTGGCTTATACACATTTTCAAGCATTTAAATTTCCTGATTCAATGGAAGTACATTTTCAATGTACAATACAGATTTGTCGTTTTCAATGTCCTGAACAATGTACAAAACAATCAAATACTGAAATAATTAATCTTTATAATGAAGATGGTGATAATAAACGTCGTAAACGTCGTGATTTAAATGAAATGATTATTACTGGAACATTAAAACAACAACAACAACCAACAACAGATGTTGATAAACAAACAAACGAAAAAGAAATCGGCCTTAACAAAGCAATACAAGTAGTATCACCACGTGATTTATCATTTCCATTGGAAATGAATCCAGAAAAAATGCCATTAATCGGCCATAATATAACCACGGACGATAATGATCCATCAATGATCATTGATCAATCATCGAATGTTGTATGCATAACAACATTTAGTTTAATTTTAGCATTAATTTTCCTGATAATTATTTGTTTTGTATGTGCAATAATATTCATGATGATAATGATACGAAAAAAACCATCATCATCATCATCATCAAAACAATCATTTGACCATCATTTTCATCCATCATTTTTTCAAACTTATTTCCAGCGATAATTCCCGATTGATTCGATGATGATCCTTTCCCGAATGCCATTTATTTATTGTATTTTATAAACCAAATATTATTTTGCAAATTTATGAATAAAAAAATTGAAATTAACCAAAATATGCATGTTTTTCGGGTTGAATTTTTTTTTTATTTCGATTTTAGAAAATACAAGTTGTTGTTTTTTTTTGAGGAAATCAAAAATGAAAAAAATTATTAGATGATTTTACAATCTTCTACCACGACGACCACCTTTCCTTCGTGTACCACCATGTGGAATTGGTGTTACATCTTCAATACGACCGATTTTCATACCCGAACGTGCTAAAGCACGTAAAGCACTTTGTGCACCTGGTCCGGGTGTTTTGGTTTTAGTACCACCAGTGGCACGAAGTTTTACATGCAAAGCATTAATTCCTAATGATCGACATTTTTCCGCAACATCTTGAGCGGCTAACATAGCGGCATATGCACTTGATTCATCACGATCAGCTTTTACTTTCATACCACCAGTTACACGGGCAAATGTTTCACTAATTTTAATTTAAAAAAAATTCAGAATTATATGATTCCTGAATGGCAAAAAACATACCTGCCCGATAAATCGGTTACATGAACAAAAGTATCGTTAAATGATGCATAAATATGAGCCACACCGAATACATTTTCACCATCCAATGCTTGTGGACCCAATTGAACATTTGGAGCTTCTTCCTTTGCTTTTCCTTTACGTTTCGACATTATTCTTGAAGAATTTTGATGATAAACAAATGAAAAAATCAAACAAAACAGTCAAACACAAACACAGACACACACACGGCGAAAAGAACGAACAGGAAACTTTGTAGCTAGCTGGAAGTGATGAAAACGTGTCAACAACACACATGCATGCTGGCATGAGCAGATTGTCTGCTATGCCCAACCCATAAATCAAATATCAATGCATGCTTGATAGTTACCAAAAAGGTGTGGCCTAAATTCAAACCAAAAAAATTTCTATTTTAACCTAAATTGTTTATTAATGCATAATAGATTCGAATTCAACAATTTTCATTTAAATTGATCCATGTAAACAATTTTGTTTTCTATCCAAAATGACCAAAAATGATAAACTAAACTGATTTTGTTTGTTTTTTTTTATAAAAATCTCTATTTAGTTTGCTAAATTGTCAAAACATAATGCATCCTCTTTTTTTCCCCTATATTTTATTTTTCATCAAATTCTCTTATCACATCAATGATGTCATTCAATGTAAAAAAAGTCAATTTACATTTTTAGCAAAAAAAAAGGTCAAGGGTTATCCCTTGATTGATGAGCAATATCAATGATCAAAACGTTTGGATTTCCCACATCAAAATGTTTTCTTTGTATGTGTGAGTGTGTATGTATGTATGGCGGCGGCATCGACGGAATAATCCAGTTTTTTTTTTTTATTTTGTTTCGCCCAAAAATAAAATTTATTCGATCTTTGTGTTGGTGTACATTAATGGATAATGGACATTGGGATGTTGTTCAATCACCTGGTTGTCCTGTTTTGGGTTTTTGATTTTTGGTTTTCCGCGTTCGTACACCTGTTTACCTTTTTGGCCAATACACACAGATCAACAGAAAAGTATGATGACCTTTTGCTTCATTGGCAAACATCAAACTGGCCATTAAATCCAATAAAAAAATGAACGAAGAAAAAATTTTTATATAACATCCTATGATTTGATGAAAAACAAGCTTAGTGTTCAATTTGATTTCAACCAAATCACACTACACGAACCCTTCAATTTGTGAATCTTTTTCCAAGAGTCAAATCACAAAAAAATTTAAACTTTTCCAAAAAAAATGTTTCGTTTCATAATTTTATTGGCAACATCAATTTCATTGATTGAATGTCAACGATTTGTATCCGGACCATGTCCAGCACTTCCATCAATGGCAACATTTGATAAGACTCGGGTAAGGTTGATGACAATCAAAAATTTTATTCGACTATTTTGACTTTGAAAAATAATTTTGAATTTTCTGTTTTTTTTTTCAAAAACAGTTTTTAGGTCATTGGGTTGAAGTGGAAAAGACACCATCAATTTTTGATTTTATGATGCGTTGTCTACGTGTTGATTATCTAGGTAGTACAGGTATTTCCCTTTGAATGATCAAAGATTTTTGTTATTCAAAACAAAAAATTTTTTTTTTGTGTTTTATTTGTTACTATAGATAATAATGATGGTAATCTAAATGTGATTGTTAAAGGAACATCATTGTAAGCATAAAATGAAATGAATTTTTATTTTTCATTGTAATTTATTTGTTTTTTCTAAAGAGCTGGTCTACCAATTACGGTCAAAGGTGATGGTCTTCCACATCCAGGAACTAAAATTGGTAAATACAATATTCGTTATGGTTTTGGTGTACCATTTCAAGGTTCAGAAGTGACTATCATCGATACCGATTATAAAGAATTTGCCGTTCTTTATTCCTGTACCAGTAGTATTATTCAAGGATTTTATCATACTGGTAAGTTGAATATTGAAGAAAATTTTTCATTTTTTACTCACTGAATCAAATTTTTTTTTCGTTCATTTATTATTACAGAATATTTGTGGCTTTTATCACGTGATGGAACATTATCAAATCCAACTAGACAAAATATTTATGAAACATTGGATCATTTAAAAATTAATCGTGTTGGTTTACATATTAGTGAACGTTCTACTTGTCCAAATAATACATTGGTTACACGTGAAAGTGAACAAAATTTAGCTGAACCAGAATTGTTTAATGTACCAGATAAACCAGAAGAAATTCGTTTTGAAGTTACTACTGAAGATCGTCCAGTTACCATTAATTAGACAAGAAGAATAACCTTTATGATAATTGGAAGTGAAACTTATTCAATATCGATTTTATATAGCAAAATTTTCACCAAAAAATTTTATTTTTCTTTAAAATTTTTTAAAAACAAAAAATTGTATCTAAGGGTAACCCTAGATACTCTTCATGGTCTTCTTCAACAAAATTTGAAAAAAATAACATGAAAATCTTCACCCATCGAAACCATTTTTTTTTTAGTTTCGATCGATAATGGTTTTTTCATTTTTTCTCTCTCTTCCATATTTTTCTTTCATTTGTGTTTGGTTTAAATTAAAATAAAATTTAAAAATTTTACTTAAAAGGTTTTCCATTTATTCTCGAGTCTGTTTTATTTCTTGATTGCAAAAAAAAGAAGTTTTTCTTATCACTTAAAAGTGACCAAATGGACGATGAAAATTTATCGGATGAAAATTCAACCGAAGATGTAAGTTTCGCTAAATGATTCTTATCGTTCATCTGGAAATTTAATTTTTTTTTTCTTCAATTTTGCTCCCGAATCTCATTATCGTTTTGTGGGTACGTTTTTTTTTTCATTAAAATGTCATTGGCCATTATGACATAAGACGACGACGACGACAACCACAACAACATCATCTATACCAAAACCAATAAAAATGACTGTAAACAGTACAAATACAATTCGTTGGTATTCACAAAATGAACAATATTTATTAACCATTAATAATGAAGTGAAAACTTGCCTAGACTGCATTTATCATGGATTTGAAATAGCAAGTAAGAAGAGGAAGAGAAAAAATTACGAATCATGTGATTCGTCATTGGTTTTTTTCACTTATAATTAATTGAATCAATTTTATTTTTCAATCAACCCTCCATTCTACCGTCTGACAGAGGAACAAGATTGTATAGGAAGAAAAAGTGGTTATTCAAGTGATTATGAATGGTTTAGCTACAATCAGGTTAAGTTTTTTTGTTTTTCTTAAATCAAAAAGTGTCAATTTTTTTCAACTTTGATCCTTGTTCAACAATCTTTTTTTTCCCCTATAGACAATATTTAAAATGCATTCATTTGGTTCTGGTTTAGTAAAAATTGGTTGTGAACCAAATAATCATACAATGATTGTATTATATGGTCGTAATAATTTTAAATCATTAATTGCTGAATTTGGTTGTTATCATTATTCAATGGTATCCGTACCAATTTATGATACATTTAAAGGTAGTATTGTATTGGAAATTCTACATCAAAGTATGTTATAAAAGTCAAAGTATTTTAAATATTTGTGGAAACGGAAAAGGGTTAATTTATTGATTTATAGTTGAACCAGGCGTCATTGTAACCGATTCAAATGAACGTGCAAAAAAATTAATGCATATTTGTCGTCAATATTTACATACAATCATAATTACATCGGAAAATATTCACCCGGAAACAATGACATATGGTAAAAAAATGAATATAAAACTTTATCCATTTACTGAAATTGAAGTATGAATTTTGAAATTTGATTTTTGATTTTTGAATATTGATTTTATTGGGTTTTTTTTCTTTTCTGTTGAATGATTTCAACTTTCAAAAGAGATTAGGTTCATTGAATCCATCACCGGTCAATGTAAGATTAGTGTATTTTGTTCAATCAATTAAGAAAAATTCATTTTTGGATTCTTTTTTTTTCGGTTCAGCTACCAAAAGCAACAGATTTAGCATGTAAGATTGATTTTTTTGGGTAATTTTCTTGTTGTTAATTTAAGAGAATTTAATTCATTTAAAATAATAAGTAATAAGCTATACAAGTGGAACAACTGGCCAGCCAAAAGGTGTATTACTTACACATGGTAATTTGGTTGCAAATTGTTCAGCAATTTTGTATCAAATTGTAAGTTAAATTTTCCTTTACAACAAAGAAAGCGAATGATTTGAAAAGATTTCATCATCATCATCGTCATTTATAGAATGAAAATATTGATTTAAAATTTGAAACAATGGTATCCTATTCATCGATTGCACATTTACGTGAACGTATTATAAAATTATGTATGTTTTATTCCGGTGGTCGTGTTGGAATCTATTTTGGTGATTTTAAAGATTTATCACGTGATCTACCAATATTGGAACCAACAATTATGGTTTGTGTACCAAGAATCCTGAATCGTATTTATCATCGTGTTATTGGAAAATTAAAAGGAAATTGGATGAAATCAAAAGTATTGAATGTTGCTTTAAAATCAAAAAATTCTGATACAATTTTCAAGTAAGTTTTCAGATTTTCTCGATTGAATCAATTTGACTTTATCAAATTCAATCAAATTAGCGAAAATATTAAAAATTCTATATGGGATAAATTGGTATTCAAAACCGTTCAACAAATGTTAGGCGGTAATCTTAAACTGTTGATTAGTGGTTCAAATCAAATATCCGATACAGTATTGAATTTTATGCGTAATTCATTACGTTGTACCGTATTGCAATCATATGAAATAACTGAATGTTCATCATTTGTTACATTAACTAAATATAATGATCAATCACAAAGTAAATTGTCTAATATTATTGATTAATTATCGATTGATTGAATTCAATTTCAATTTCAAATTTACAGGACATTTAGGTAATCCAATTGCATGTTGTTCAATCAAATTGATCGATGTACCTGAGTTAAATATTTGGACTAAAAATGCACAAATGGGTGAAGTAAGTGATGATTGATTTTCAAACCGATTTTAAGCTTAATTATGATTTTTGATTTTTTCAATTGGTAAGATTTGTGTAAAAGGTACAAATGTTTTCTCCGGTTATTACAAAGATTATCAAACATATATTGAAAATATGGATGAAGATGGTTGGTTTCATACTGGTGATGTTGGCCAATTTACAATGGTAATATGTGTAACAGGATTGTTTTCACAGTCATAAATTCTATTAACCCTTCTGTATGAATAGAATGGCCTAAAATTTATGGATCGACGACAATGTTTACGTGTAATTAAATATAACAATTTAATACGTTGGATTGCACCGATTAAAATTGAAAATATCTATATACAAAGTATTTATGTTGGACAATGTTATGTTGATATTGATATTGAACAGGTAAGATTTTTTTTCAATTCAAAAACAGATTTAATTAATCCAAACCAAAACAAACAATCAAAGGGTTATTTAATAGCTGTAATCGTACCGGATATTGATGGTATAAATCTTTGGTGTAGTGAAAATAATATGCTTTTAAGTTCAGCTGAAGCATGTAAAAATGTGGTACGTATTTTTCTTCATCCCGCAATCATTTCATTTAACCCTTTAAAGAATCTTAATCTAATTATCATCATTTTACCATTCTAATCAACCAACAACAAAACCAAAAACCAAACCAACAAAAACCGCAAAACAAAGGCATTCCGTAATACATTAATAAATGATATAAAAAATATTGGTAATCGTGAACGTTTAAAACAATATGAACAAATACATGATATTGTTTTACATTCAGTACCATTTACACAGGATGCTGGCTTGTTAACACCAACAATGAAATTAAAACGTTATGAATTATATCATTATTTTCGTGATGAAATTGATCAAACAATACAATTATTAAAAAATAATGGTAGCCATTCACAGGATTAATTAATTAATGATCATCGGGATTTTTTAATTAACGTGGGAAAAAATGAAAAAAGAATGAAATATAATTTAACCAATTGAAACACAAAAACAAAAATTTGAAAAAAAATGTGAAAATTAAAATAATTTGAAAAATAATAAACAAAACAAAGTCATGTTTGAAGGGAATTGGAATGTTTTTTTGTTGGTCAAAAGTTTTTGGTCAATTTCAAGTTGCTTTTTTGGTCAAGTTGTTGATAAACATTTATCTTGATTTAGATTGATACGTAACAATGAAAATGTTGATCCATTCGTACAATTTTTCTGACAAATAACTTCAAATATAAATGTATCTTTTTCAAGATTTTCTTTTTCCAGATTTACATAGATTGTATTCCATTTGTCAATGTTATTACTGGAATTATGTTTTATTTGCTGTTGTTGTTGTTGTTGATTTAATACGTGCACTTTTCCCGTTTCGGTTGATTGTTGACTAACGATTAATTGATATTTCTCATTACCATTAACTAAATAATCGACGATAAGACATGCAATATTTGTTTTTGATTGCGTTTGTTGTTTTTTACCGTCATTCATCGATGAAAACGAAGCTTTAAAATAAAATCTAGCCATCCTGAGCAGCGAATATTCTGTGTTTTCGAAAATTCATCACAAATAAGCATTGAAAGTTGAAAATTTCAATTTACCTTTAATTTGCAAATGATATTGATTTTGTTGTTGCTGTTGTTGTTTAGAATCATCATCATCACTAACCAATCTAGTTGTTTGATCATTTTTCTGTACAGTAGTAAAACCTTTTACACTAAATATACAAACATTATTGTAACATTCAAATTTATTATTACTACGTAACAGCATTGGTAATCGAAGTCGTTTGGCTTCAAGCAAGGGGGAAAAACAAAATTTGAAAAATTTAAAATTTAAAAAAACAATGAAACAAACCTGATGCTGTTGTTAGGAAGATAATCAAAATAAAATAAAAACAAAATAAAGAATAATAATTGAATTGAATGAATTTCATTTTTTTGGAAAAATCAAATCAAATCAAGTTGATCAAGGGAGAAAAAAAATTGATCAGATTGATGTACAGACAATAATCAGATTGATTGATTGATTGATTTGTTTGTCTTTGTGGCTAGTTTGTTTGTTTGTTATTTTTTCTGTTGAAAATTGATTTCATCAATTTTTTTTGAATTGTCGTCATCAATTCGATGATGAAAAGTCAAGTTGAATTTGAAAAATCATTTTGTTTACTGAACACGAGATGGCGCCACGGTTACCATTTGTTTGCGAAAATAAAATTCAAAAAATTTTCAAAAATTCAAAAAAAAAATTTCCCCTTAAATCTGTAAATAAAAAAAACGACTATAGATTTTAATTTTCTCCATTTTACCTGGATTATTTTGATTGAAAAAAATGTCCAATATAATGCCATCATCATCAAACATAATTTTCAATTTATTTTTAGATCAACCAAACGAACGAACGAACGAAAATATTTCCGATCAACAAAGATCGATAGTCATCGTTTGTTATTATTGTCATCATCGACGATTAAATAATGTTTTTTGTTTTTTGTTGTTGTTGTTGACGATGATCATCATTATTATCCATTAAATACAATGAACAACAACAACAACAACAAACAACCAGAATTTGAATCTATGAAATCTACCTATGAGCGAAAAATTGATATTGTATTTTTATTTTTGGGTGTGTTTACCTTTTACCTATCTTCTAATCATCATCATCATTATTATGGAAAACCCCGAATATGTTTTGAGCTAAAAAATCAATTTAATTCAACAAAAAAAATTCGCGAATAATAACCAATGGAACCATTTCATGCAAACGAAAAATGATTCAATTTCAAAACGTGATTATCCCAGAAAAAAGTTTCCTCAAAAAAGTATGCTATGTTTGTGTTTATGTTTGTGTGTGTGTGTGGATCATATTCATCATCATCGGTGTTCCACGATTTTTTCAATTTTTTCGTGGATCGATCAATTGATTTTCATTCAGGTTTCATAAATTTTTCTGACTTTATTTTTCGCTCGACCATTTTTCATCACCACCACCATCGACATTGTCATCGGGTAGATGATGATGATGATGATCACGATCCAGCGATGATGATATGACAATGATATGGCTGCTGTTGTTATATAGAAATGAATTTTGTTGCTGTTTTTTTTTTAATTAAAATTGAAAAAAAAACGAAAATCCAACCGACGACAATCTATAACTATCTATCCAGTCAAAATAGTCTTCCCCCTGTAATAGTCTTTTGCTGTCACAAAATTATTTTTCCATTTTTTTCTGACTTTTGATAAAGTTCCGTTTCAATTTTCCTGCTTCTGTCGTTGTTGTTGTTGTTTTGGAATCAATTTAAATTAATGGATCTCTGGTTATTATGTTTTTTTCTTTTCGCCCTTAACCAACTATTCTATTTCCACCCACCCCACCATCCTTGCACAATATTCTCTTTTTCCATAAATAACTTTTGTTTGATTGAAAATTTTCATTTTTTTTCTATCAGTAGAGGGTGGTTTTTGTTGTTCAATGATTACCTTTTTGTGATTCTATAGGTAGATATCATCACTGTTTTTTTCACTTTCCTAGCCCAAAGTTTGGCTAGAATTTTTTTTTAAATGAAAAATGATGTGGCCATTGTGGTTTGTATCGATACAATCGATTATTCTATTTTTCATTTTTTCTGGATAAAAACTGTCAAAATTTTCATTGCTGACAGCCCAAAAAAGATAGTAAAAGGAAAAAAAGATGTGATTGTTACATTGTTGTAAAATACAAAGCAAAAACAAAATTCTCGCGAATTCCTATCATCATCAATTGATTTTTTTCTCTCTCTAGTAACCAGAGATTCTGTATCTACCATAATAGGAATATTCTTTCCATATTTAGAGATGGATTCCAGAATTGCCCAGAAAAAAAAACATTGAAAAAACACTAAAAAGAGATTCTCTTTCTCTCTCGAGTTTCTGTTCATACCCAAAAATAATTAATTTGATGTCATTAACTCACTCTCGCACTATATATGGTCACCGTTGTTGTTGTTTTTTACAACCAAAAACCAAACAAACAAACAAACAAACAAACAAAAAAACCATCACCACCATCATCCGCATATATGCAAATGGCACATTTTGTTTTTTGTTTTTTTGTTCTTGTAATTCACTACCATCAAACAAAAAATATTTGATGATATGTGTTGTATGCTTGTTGTTGTTTCCCCTTCAGTTTGGTTTTATAATTGAATTTATGTGGTAGTTTTTTGCTTGCTTTCCGAAAAAATGAATGGATGGATAAAACATCGTTTGGTTTCAGGTTCTCTTGGTGACAAACATATTTTTTTCCATTCTCCATGTTTGGAATCTCTCTCTCTCTCTCCCCACATGAATGTGGCTCTTTTGTTTTCTGTTTCGTTCATCGTAGAATATTTATCCAAAAAACAACAACATTGTAAATTTTGTCCCACACTGAAACACTGAAACATCGTCATCATGGTATACATATTAAATCAATTAGTTGGGCAAACATTCATACACAGAATGTTTTTTTTTGCTATCTCCGTGTGTAAAAGATTCTGAAATTTAAAACTTTGGGTAAAATTCATCTGGAGAGTGAGAGAGAGAGAGAGAGAGAGAGAGAGAGAGAGAGAGAGAGAGCGAGAGAGAGAGNCCAGTCAAAATAGTCTTCCCCCTGTAATAGTCTTTTGCTGTCACAAAATTATTTTTCCATTTTTTTCCTGACTTTCGATAAAGTTCCGTTTCAATTTTTTTTTCGCCTGCTTCTGTTGTTGTCGTTGTTTTGGAATCAATTTAAATTAATGGATCTCTGGTTATGTTTTTTTTTCTTTTCGCCCTTAACCAACTATTCTATTTCCACCCACCCCACCATCCTTGCACAATATTCTATCTTTCCATAAATAACTTTTGTTTGATTGAAAATTTTCATTTTTTTCTATCAGTAGAGGGTGGTTTTTGTTCAATGATTACCTTTTTTTGTGATTCTATAGGTAGATATCATCATCACCGTTTTTTTTTCACTTTTTGGTTAAATCCTGGACCGACGTTTGGCTAGAATATTTTTTTTTTTAAATGAAAAATGATGTGACCATTGTGGTTTGTATCGTTCGTCTATCGATACAATCGATTATTTTATTTTTCATCATTTTATTCATTAAAATTCAAAATCATTTTTTTTTCGGGATAAAAACTGTCAAAATTTTCATTGCTGACAGCCCAAAAAAAAGAAGATGTGATTGGTTACATTGTTGTAAAAAACAAAAAACAAAATTCTCGGGAATTTTCCCTTATATCAATTGATTTTTTTTCTCTCTCTCTCTCTAGTAACCAGATATTCTATCTACCATAATAGGAAATATTCTTTCTACATATTTTTTTGGTTCAAGATTCAAGAATTGCACAGAAAACTAAAAAAAAACACTAAAAAATAGATTCTCTTTCTCTCTCTCTCGGGTTTCTGTTCATACCCAAAAAAATAATTAATTTGATGTCATTAACTCACTCTCGCACTATATATGGTCACCGTTGTTTTTTACAACCAAAAAACCAAAAACCAAACAAACAAAAACAAAAACAAAAACAAAACAAAAAAAAACCATCACCACCATCATCCGCATATATGCAAATGGCACATTTTGTTTTTTGTTTTTGTTCATGTAATTCACTACCATCATCATTGCCATTTGATGATATGTGTTATATGCTTTTTTCCCCTTCAGTTTGGTTTTATAATTGAATTTATGTGGTAGTTTTTTTTGCTTGCTTTCTGAAAAAATGGATGGATTTTTGGTTTCAGGTTTTTTTTCTCGGTTTCTCTTGGTGACAAACATATTTTTTTCCATTCTCCATGTTTGGAATTTTTCTCTTTCTCTCTCTCCCACATGAATGTGGTTCTTTTGTTTTTTTCTGTGTTTTGTTTCATCGTAAAATATTTATCCAGAAAAAACAACATTGTAAATTTGTCCCACACTGAAACACTGAAACATCGTCATCATTGTATACATATTAAATCAATTAGTTGGGCAAACATCCAGAATGTACCGACAATGTTTTTTCTATCTATCTCCGTGTGTGCTGTGTAAAAGATTCTGAAATCTAAAACTTTTGGGTAAAATTCATCTGGAGAGAGGGAGAGAGAAAACAAACGGAGGAAAATCCCAAATAAAGAATCCACAACGACGGCAAAACAAAACGAGAATCACCCATCTTTCTCTCTCTCTCTCCCTGTGTTTTAATTTGATCAATTAAATGATGCTGCTAATAGCTGCTGCTGCTGTTCTCATTAATACTTTTTCTGATTCCTGGAATTTGAAACATTTTTTTTTACTGCAACCCCAACATTAATAATTTGTCATCATACAAATCATTCATTCATTTAAGATCGTATTTCGTTCGTAGTGTAACCACTAAATGAAGAAAATTAATTGAAACAAAAAACAAAAAAAAGCAAACCTTGTTTCATTCATTTGCAAATATGAAATGCAAATAAGAAATGCAAGTTAGAAAAAACGAAAAACGAAAATTTCATTCAATTAAAAATGATTAATTTATAATTAGTTAATGTTTTTTTGTTTTTTGCTTTGCTCTGATGACAAAACATTCATTTTGTTTCGTTTTTCAACTCTTTTCGTTCCAAATTTACTTGAATTTCAAACCAAAAAAAAAACGAACCAAAATTCGATTATTCACCATGGTAGTTTGCTAGTTAGTTTTTTACTGTTTTTTTACTGAATCTCATCATTCAGAGGTTCTTCTTTTTCTTGTTTCCATTTTTCATTTGCATCAATTTTTTCTTTCTGTGTTTTTCAATCGATTATTACTTTGATGATGATTGACTTGTGCAGTGGTTGCTGCATTGGTGTATGGTTGCATATCAAGAATAACCGCAAAACTGTTCCTGGTTATTCTCAATTGTTTTTGAATCGAATTGAAAAAAATGTTATGTAATTTTATGCTCAATCAGTCAAAATAATAGGGAAAAAACACAGAAAGAGTAATCATTATTTAGAAATGGAAAAAAGAAACTTTTGCATTTTCAAGAAACAAAACAACGGCT